GGGAGACAACTCAGGGGGCAGGAGTGCATGGAGGGATGGACACAGGGAAGAGGTAACTATTGGGAGGAAACAGGAGGGGAGATGTTGCATTGTAGTAAATTGTGGTCAATGTCATGAGACAAAGTGTATGTGAACTGCTGTATGGAAAGTGTATTTGCTCTGTAAATTTTCACTCAAATCACAATAAGAAAAAAAAAAAAAAAGCATAACCCAAAAGGGACAAATAGCAGACGATAAACTAGATGATTAGGGCCTTCTAAAAATTAAATTCTTATGTGCATCCAAAGACTTCTCCAAAAGATTAAAATAAAAACCTATGGGTTGGGAAAAAATATTCAGCAATTCCATATCTGACAAAGGACTTATCTGTAAAATTTATAGAAAACACCAATACCTCAACATCAAAAAGACAAACAATCCATTTTAAAAATGGGCAGAAGACAGCAAGAGACATCTCACCAAAGAAGATATTCATACAGCTAACAAACACATGAAGAAATGTTTGCCATCATTAGCCATTTTTGTTGTTAGGTGCCATCAAGTCATCTCTGATACATAGCGACCATATGTACAGCAGAATGCAACACTGCTGGGTCTTGTGCCAGCTCCATGATCCTTGCTATATGTGACCCCATCGTTGTAGTCACTGTGCCAATTCATCTTGTTGAGGGTCTTCCTCTTTTTCATTGACCCTCCACTGTACCAAGCATGATACCCTTCTCTAGGGAATGGTCCTTTCTTACAACATGATCAAAGTAGATGAGACAAAGTCTGGCCATTCTCACTTCCAAGGAACATTCTGGCTGCACTTCTTCCAGGACAGATGTATTAGTTCTTCTACCAGTCCATGGAACTTTCAGCATTCTTCACCAACACCACAACTCAAAACCATCAACTCTTCCTCAGTCTTCCTTATTCATTGTCTAGCTCTCACATGCATATGTTGTTGCTGTTGTTATGTGCCATTGAGTCAAACCCGACTCATAGCAACCCCTCCTTGGGTTTCCCAGGCAGTGTCACTGGTATCACTATGGAAGTAGATTGCCCAACCTTCCTTCTGAGGAGTGGCTGGTGGGTTTGAACCGCCAGCCTTCTGGTTAGCAGTTAAGTGCCTTAGGCACTGTGCTACCAGAGCTTGCTCCTTTGGTGTTCTCAAAAAAACCTAAACTCACTGCCTTTGAGTTGATTCAACTCATACTGACCCCTTCTTGTGTTTCTAAGAAGATATCTCTATGGAAGTAGGTTGTCCAATCTTCTTTTTGAGGAGTGGCTAGTAGATTTGAACCACCAGCCTTCTGATTAGCAGTCAAATGCCTTAGGCACTATGCTACCAGAGCTCCTCCTGTTTGGAATTTGTCAGTTCCCTGTTCATGGGCCTTTATGCTATTGCTAAACTTTTGCTCTTTAATAGTGCCATAATGTATATGGCCAGTTTTGCATATCTCTAGAGAAAATTCCTAGCACTATAGCTGTAGGAATCAAAGGGTGAGAACACAGTCTCTCTAATGGTCCACCATCGTGGGTGCTGTTTGTAGTCCAGGAGATAGTACAAAATCTGAGGCAAGGTATGGCATAAGGGCAACCATAGATAAAAATAGAGGTTCAAAAAAAAGAAAAAGAAAAAACAACTCTGTTTTTTCTAAAATTATTTGTATAAATAATTTTAAGGATACCCTTTATATTTAATCAATATAGTCCTTCTTAAGAATGTTTAGGAACAGTGTTCTTAAATGTCAACATGTTTTGTTGCAACAATACAAAGTACTCTTATTTTTTTAGGTTACTGATTTATGTTTAATTTTATTAGAAAGATTTTGCATTCTTACTGTATGTAATTTGGAAAACACAAAAAAAGTATTAAAAAAAAAAAAAAACACCTCACTGCCATGGAGTCAGTTTGATGTATAGCAACCCCTCTTTGTGTTTCCAAGGCGGAATCTCTGTGGAAGTATATAGGCCAGTCTTCCTTCCAAGGAGTGGCTGGTGGGTTTGAATGACCAGCCTACATAAATTTCATAATCTCACTCAAAAAAAGAAAAAAAATTCACTGCTGTTGAGTCAGCTCTGACTCATAGCGACCCCTTCTTGTGTTTCCGAGGTGATATCACTATGAAAATTGTCCAGTGCTCCTTCTGAGGAGTGACTGGTGGGTTTGAACTGCCAGCCTCCTGGTTAGCAGTCAAATGCCTTAGGCATTTCACCACTAGAACTCCCATAATCTCACTACTCAGAGATAATCAAGATTTATAGTTTAATCTCTTTTTTCTGTATATGTATTGATTTTTATATAGCTGAGATATATTTTATAAAGTATTCACATTCAAATTTTGTTTAGCCAACCATCTTGATTTTGTTGATCATCTTATTTATATTCATTATTCCTGTCTGTTTTCTTTGTTTCTGCTTTTTTTTTTTTTTTCTCCCCTGTAAGGTAATAGAAATCTATCATTGTTTTGGAATGAGTTTGGATACCAAAATAGGAAGAATGTGGAGAAATCTTTAGACTCTATTTGGTATCAAAGGAGACAAATCAAGGACATCCCATTCATCATCCAGTGTGGTAAGTGACAGATTCTATTTCAATTAGCAGACATTTATTGAGTTAATATGTAAGTGAACAAGTCATTGTGTTAAGTACAGCCAGTAGGTGCTGGCAGTGCAAAGATGAGTAAGACAAGATTCTTGCTTTCAAAGTGGTTACAGTCTATGGAAGAGGTTAAGATAAATACAAAAATAATTGAAATAGAGGCAACAATTGGGTAAATGATGTAAAAGAGGCATAAAGTTCTTTGAGTGTTCAAAGAAAGTGGGAAGTTGAGGCAAGGCTTCAAGATGCAGGTAGCCTTTGTAATGGCCTTTAAAATAGAATTTTAATAGACAGAGATGTATACAGAGAATATCTCCATGGAAAGTTAAGGCATTAAGACAGAAATGTGGGTAAATACAGCTAAACTTTTATGATAAGAAAATAGAAACTGTTATCTTTCTAATTTTAATACCTACTACTATGTTTGATATACTTAGGAACTTAGTAATTAACTACTGAGTAAGTGAGTAATGAATAATAAAAGACAAAAATATTAAGGTGAGTACGCACGTTAGAGGGTCTTGAAAGCCAAGGTAAGAAGATTTTACTTGCACAAGTAATGGGGTGGGGCGGTATTGGAAGTTATCACTGAATCACTGAATATTTTCATATATCATCTAGCAACTATGCCAAAGGTTAAAGAATTAAAATATAATCTCTGGTATCCTCAAGGAATCTACAGTCCAGAAGAGAAGACAGAAGAGCAAGCAAGCAAACAAACAGAAGTACCCTGTAGTGTGTAAAACACTATAAAACTATTTATACAGTGCTGAAGGAGCCACCTCCCCAACATTGGGCCTGGTGTGGTTCAAGGAAAGCCTGACATAGATGAAATTTGTAGTAAGTTTACTGTAGCAACTCAGTGAAGGATGATTTGGAAGAGGGCTTGAGCAAAGGGAGGGGTCAAGATCTCCCAGGAGACTACCACTGTTATCCAAGATCAGGTGACAAATTGTGAATGTCATAATTAAGGCATGGCAGAGAGATTTTAGAGAAATATACCTGACGTATTTAGAAGGTGTAATTGAGGTAACTGATGACAATATGTAAGAGCATTTTAGACAACAATGATAGTAGCTAACAATTATTCTGTGTTTTTGATATTAGAATAAAATCTCAAGTACTTATGAGCTATATGAAGTGGGAAAGTTACCTAAGCCTCAGTTTTCTTATTTATAAGATGAAGTTAGTACTTGTAGCTACATTAGACAGTTGTGAGAATAATTTTAATGAAAAAGTGTAAAATTTACCAAGTGCTTGGGACACTTCCTAGAGATGATGCTTTTTGTCACATCACCATTATTATTATTATGTAATTTAATCCTGGCAGTAACCCTTTGAAGTTAAGTACTATTAAGCCATTGCAATCAACTTGATTCCAACTAATGGTGATCCCATGTGTGTCAGTGTAGAACTGTTATTCTCACAATTGTCATGCCCAAGCATGATAGCCTGGTCTAGGGACTGGTCCCTCCTGATAACAGGAGGCACTTCTAGGTGAACTCAGACATCCAATCTTTTTGTTAGCAGCTGAGTGTATGGCCTGTTTATATCACTAAGGGATTCCTAAACACTATTATTTATCTCTTTTTAATGATAATGATACAGAAACATAGGCAAGTTAAGTAATTTGTCCAAGATGATAAAAGTGTTAAGTGGTGGAACTGAGATTCAGAGTCAAAGCTGGTGGACTCTTAAATTCAGGTGCTTAATCACTGTACAAAAATGCCTGTCTCTTACATGGGAGTGTGTCTGGAGGGAATCTAGGATTAAAGTTAAGTAAAGCTTGAGGAAAGTAGTATGTTTTGCTCTTAAAAGCAAGACTAGAATGAAAGGGGAAAATGGACAAAGAATTCAGAAACTGGAGTCCGGAAAGTGTAGTAAGAATGGAAAACAGTGCAGAACAAGGAAAGGCATAAATGGTTTAGAAAACATGATTTTCCGTTTTGAATTAGAGTGGTTGGAGATAAAAAGTGGTGTGGTCAGCAGATGGATAATAGATCCAGAGAAGATGGGAGATTCAACTCTATAGGTTGTAATGCAATTTAGGAAGATGTAGAGTGGGATCTATTAGTTAAGATTCTTTTGTCTGAAAGTAGCAGAAACCAATTGGAGGGCACTTAAACTATAATAAGGATCTCATATAATCCTAGAATAGTTGTATCATAAAGTACAATGATATGTAATCAATGTGCCACTTATCTTGGTATATGCAAACTGACAATATAATAGATTCACTCCTCTGATTATGGCCTCTTTTGTGTGTAATTTTGTTTTAATCATCAGATCTTTGCCTCAAGTGGAGAGTCTTACCTTCTTCTACTAATTACCAGGAAAAAAAAATTCATAACATCTGGATTTGTGCTGATAATCCTAACTCCTTGGAAAACAGGTAGAACTGACAGTTTTCTAAAATCTTTTGTCCACTAGAAAATATCAGCTAGCACAAATTTTAGCGAAGGAGCTGCCATTTCTTCCAAGTCTTTCTAGCTCCTTGTCCATCTGAAGAAAAATATTTCATTAGTGTGTTTTTTCCAACAAGATGAAAGAGACCTAGGGATGTGACTATTTGTAGATGTTTGGATATAAAAGCTCTGTACTTCCACTGTTGGAAGACCATAACCCAGTGTTTAAGAGTTGTGCCTGTATTTCATTTTCACACAAAAGACTTTATCATATAAGAATCTTACTCAGAGGGTATTTCCAGGGGCATTAAACAGTTAGGCCATGTGCTTTTTCTATTTAAGTCATATATTGATTCCATTGTTTATTGCTCTTGGAGGAAGAAGTTCAATCTAAAACAAGGAAAAGACCAATTAAATATTGATGGATGTCAACATTGTTACTATCCCTTTTGGACTAACATTATTTCCCTGAGGGGAAAAGATTTAATACTCTCCTTTAACAAAGGCACCCCTAAGTCACACAGAGCTGTTCCACGGAGCTTGTTCTAAATCCTTTTGACTGGATAAATGGATCAATATTTCTAATATAGACAGTAAAATAATAACTTCTGTTTGTTATTTATATCCAGGCCTGAAAACAGTAGCCCCTTGCCCCCCCAAAAAAATAAAAATTATAAGATGAATACATTAAGAAATTGCTGCTAAAACCCTTTCCATCTAGAGCCCCCAGCTTAATTAGCTTTAGAGACTGAAGCAAAATATCAGAGGTTAAAGGTGCTAAGATTTCACATGGCCCAGGATGTTATTCAAATTCCTCCCCATTTTGTTTGCAGCAGAATCTATTTTTTTTTTGTTTTGTTTTGTTTTGTTTCCAAATTTGCTTCAGAATCCAAATAAATAAAATAGATAAATGCTGGAGGCTGAGCACCTAATGTACTCACTTCCCATTTCCTTTCCCTATTCTCTACAAAAAGCCTAGAGATCCATGGAGCTTGACAAAATAGATAGATAGATACGTAGATACATAGATAGATACATAGATACATAGATACAGATGTTTATACATACAGTATATATACACACACACACACACAAATATATACATACACACATGCACATACACTCACACACACACACACACATATATATATATACTCTCCTCTAGTCTGATATCTTCATTTTAGAGAAGAGAAAATTAAAACCCAAAAAGATGCTAAGAAATTTGTTGATGAAGCCATGAACTGAGGTCTTTCAGCACCTAAACTGATTCTGGCCTAATCTGAAACTAAAATATCTCACAAATAGAGTGTTGGCTCAGTTTCAATGTTAAAAATAGTTAATAATATTGATCATTTTGCTATGAGCTAAAAACTTTTCACACAGTATGGAGAATATTGCTCAGAGTTCAGACTGGCCAGATGGCCAGGGTTTGACCTCTGACTCCACTAGCTATGAAGCTTTAGACAAAAGACGAGACTTTTGTTTAGTTCAACTTTGTCTATAGAAATGGTATAATAATAGCATTTTATCACTTCTTCTCTAGGTCCAGCTGGACCTCTTGCAAAGACAGACTGCTGAAATTTCCTGGTCACTGGGGTCCCTTAATAATAAGCAAGCAGAATTTAGGCCATTCTCCACCAATCTAACTATATACAAATGATTTTGTAAACTAGTCTTAGGCCCTGTCCAACCCACAGAACTAAACAGCAGTCCATGACAGCTTACCTTATTTTCAACTTAATATTGTCCCTGAACTGGACCATTCCTATCCTCTTCTCTCTGAAAGGTAGTGATGTCATCACAGAGGACTGTAAACTTAGTTTCAAAGCTGCATTACTCTGTCTCCTTTACACATCAAAATTAGGCCACTTTTGATGAGAGACAAGATAATTTTAGCCTTGTTGACAGGAAATTGATGAACTTTAAAAGCCTAAATGCAAACTCTTCTTTAGTCTCTATTTATAATTTGCTTAAGTCTTTGGTTCTTTAAATATTCTGTCATATTATTGGCCATCTGTATTTCATTTCCACTGAAAAGATTATGAGGAGAAATAAGCTTGAAATGGTAGCAAGAGATTTGGGTGAGATAAAAAAGACACACTCCTGATTATAAGGGAAGTTAATCAAGAGTTAGCAACAACTTTACTGAAAATTACTTATGGAGACATAGATAACTCCAAGAAGAAAAATTGCTCGGGGACTTTGATCAGTCCTCTGATTCAGTATGATGGGATGGACAGTGCATACTTTGAGAATATGCCTTGAAATAGATCATTACTAGGCAGAACTGATACATGTCCTATCATATTTGGGTAAAATCACATGAAATGAGTGGGTTAAAGTAATGAGAAATGAAGTATAGTGCTATATTGGGCAATATTCCATGAGTAAAGGGACAGAGGAATGGGATGAAAAGTACCATTGTTATATTTCAGTACAATGTAGTTTACTATCAGCAGGGTTAATGCCAGTAAACAGCATTTGAATGTACCATGTCTATATAATCAGACCTTGAGCAGAAAACATAATAATAGCTTCCTCATACATAACAAGTATACCATAGTCCTAAGAATTTTCTCCCATTATCAAAGCATGAAACAGAGAGAGTAAGACAGATTCAGTGACTTGTCCAAGGTTCCTTGCTAGAGTTAAAACTTTAAGTATTTTTTTGCAAAGCCTGTACTCTTTTTGCTTTACCAAATCTCTTCTTTGAAGGTATCCTTTTATATTTCAGGAGACTCTAATTATATTCAAATATCTTTCAGTGACAACAATTCATCATCTTATAAATCTTATCTTTTCTCTTAAAGGGATGGTACTAGTTAGTATTCAGGGTCAGTAACCTAGATAGAGTAAAATGGAAGACTTTCTTTTTCAAACCACTAAAGCTTCTGTTTGTTTTCTGCTTTAAGCACTGTATATATACACATAATATATATATATATATATATATATATATATATATACATATATATATATATTTTTGGTCAAAGTACCAAAGAAATGCATGGGGGGGAAGTGACTAAGAAATCTCCCACTCTTCTGCCAGTTTGTCATACTGTTGCTGGCTCATGTGTTGCTGTGGTGGTGAAAACGATGTCACTAGTATTTCAGATACCAGTACATTCACCCATCCATGGTGAACTTCCAGACTAAAATAGACTGGGAAAAAGGAGCTGGTGCTATATTTGTAAAGAAACTGGCCAGTAAAAACCACAGGAATAATAGTGAACCATTGTCTGATGGTGCCAGATGGTGAGCCCCTCAGGTTGGAAGGCACTCAAAATACAATGAGGAAAGAGAGGCCTCCTCAAAGTAGACACAACCATAGTGAAGTGGATGGAATAAACTTTTGGGACCTTCATTTGCTGAAGGGCCATGACTCAAAATAAGAAGAAACAACTGCAAACATCCATTAATAATTGGAACATGGAATGTATGAAGGAAAATTGGAAGTTGTCAAAAATGAAAAGGATTGCTTGAAGATATATATCCAAGGTAGTAGTGAGCTAAAATGGACTAGTATTGGCCATTTTCAATTGGGCAGTTATATGGTCAGTCTCCTTATGCTGGGAATGACAAACTTAAAAGGAATGATTTTTCATTATTGTCAAAAAGAACATTTCAAGATCTGTCCTGAAGTAAAAAGCTGTCAGTCATAGGCTAATATCCATACACCTGTAAGAAAGATTAGTTAATATGACTATTATTAAAATCTGTGCACTAATTATGAATGCTAAAGATGAAGAAATTAAAGATTTTTACCAACTTCTGCAGGCTGAAATTGAGCAGACATGCTAATAATGATGCATTGATATTTACTGTTGATTGGACTGCAAACATTGGAAATAAATAAGAAGGATCTGTAATTAGAAAATATAGCTTTGGTGATAGACATGACATAGGAGATTGCATGATAGTAAGACCAATGACTTAATCATTGCAAATAACTTTTTCCACAATATAAATGGCAACTATACATGTAGACCTCACCAGATGGAATACACCAGGATCAAATGTACTAATCTGTGGAAAGAGATGATGGAAATTCAATGTTATTAGTCAGAAAAAGGCCAGTGGCTGACTGGGGAACAGATCATCAATTGTTCTTATGCAAGTTCAAGTTGAAACTGAAGAAAATTAAAACAAGTTCATGAGAGCCAAAGTATGAACTCAATTATATCACACCTGAATTTAGAGACCATCTCAAAAATAGATTTGACACATTGAACAATAATGACCAAAGACCAGATGAGTTATGGGATGTTGTTAAGGACACCATATATGAAGATAGAAAAAGCTCATTAAAAACAAAGGATAAACCCAAAATGGATGTCTAAAGAGACTGTGAAACTTGCATTTCAATGTAGAGTAGCTAAAGCAAATGAGAAATGATGAAGTAAAAGAACTGAATAGAATATTTCAACAAGTGGCTTGAGAAGACAAAGGAAAGTACTATAATGAAACGTGCAGACTTGGAGTTAGAAAACCAAAAGGGAAGACCATGCTCAGCATTTCTCAAACTGAAATAACTGAAGAAAAACTTCATTTCAGGAGGTAGTGTATGATCAGAAACTGATGGTACTGAAGGAAGAAGTTCAAGCGGAACTGAAGGCGTTGGTGAAAAACAAGGCTCCAGGAACTGATGATGAGAAATCAACTGAGATGTTTCAACAAAAGAACAATGCTGCAAGCATTCACTGCTCTATGCCAAGAAACTTGGAGGATAGTTCTCTGACCAAATAACTGGAAAAGTCCATATTTGTGCCAATAACTGGAAAAGTCCATATTTGTGCCAATTCCATGGAAAGGTGAACTAATAGGATAAAGACATTATCAAACAATATCATTACTATCATGCTCAAGTAAAATTTTGCTCAAGATAATCCAAAAACAGTTGCAGCACTACGTCAACTAAGAACTGACAGAAGTTCAAGCCAGATTCAGAGTACAAGGAATGAGGCTGATGCTGGAGGGTTCTTGGTTGAAAGCAAAGAATACTAGACAGATGTTTACCTGTGTTTTATTGACTATGTAAAGATATTCAACTGTATGGATCGTAACAAATTATGGATAACATTGTGAAGAATGAGAATTCCAGAACATTTAATTGTGCTCATATGGAAATTATGCATAGACCAAAAGGCAGTGGTTCAAACAGAACAAGGGGAATACTGTGTGGCTTAAAAGCAAGAAAGGTGTATGTCAGGGCTGAATCCATTCAACATACTTAGTCAATCTGCATGCTGAGCAAATAATCTGAGAAGCTGGACTATCTGAATAAGACTAGTCTCAGGTTTGGAGGAAGACTCACTAATAACCTGCGATATGCAGATGACACAATCTTTCTTGCTGAGTAAAGAGGACTCGAAGCACTTACTAATGAACATTAAACACTACAGGTTTCAGTATAGTTTATATCTCAATGAAAAGAAAACAAAAATACAGCTGGACCAACAAGTAACATCAGAGGAAAGATTGAAATTGTCAAGGATTTCATTTTACTTGTATCTTTAATAAATGCTCATTGAAGTAGCAGTTGAGAAGTCAGAGGGCATATTGCACTGGGCAAATCTGCTCCAAAAGACCTCTTTAAAGTGTTAAAAGCAAAGAAGTCCCTTTGAGGATGAAGATGTACCTGAACCACGCCATGGTATTTTCAGTTGCCTCATATGCATGGGAAAACTGATCAATGAATAAGGAAGACCAAATAAGAACCCGTGCCTTTGAATTGTGGTGTTGATAAAGAAAACTTATATATACCACAGAGTGCTAGAAGAATGAACAAATTTGTCTTGGAAGAAGTACAACCAGAATGCTTAGAAGTGAGGATGACAATACTTCATGTATTTTAGACATGTTATCAGAAGGGACTGGTCCCATAATACTTGGTGTGTTGGATTGGGTTCTCTAGAGAAACACAAAAACCAGCAAAGTGTATATATATATTTATAGAGAGAGAAAGAGAGAGAGAGAGAGATTTATCTTAGGTAAATGGCTCACAAGCGTGTAGAAGCCGACAAGTTCAAGCTGAAAAGTTCGTCTCTGGAGGGGGATGGGGCCC